CAAACTCTGTTGGCTCTTTTTAGCTAGTGGGGTGTCAACACTGACCAATACCTTTGGCACCCGAGTTCTATAACCATTATCTAATCTCTGCAAGAATTGTACATGCTTTATTTATTTATTTTTTGTTTTTCCTAAGTACCATTCCTACTCATAGCAATCCTGTATAGAGTCTCCAAGGGGCTACAGGTGAGTTTGAACCACCAACCTTGATATTCAAATGGACCTAGTGACCAAGTCCTTATCCTACAGCGTCATACCGGGACTCCTTATTTGCCTAGTTCCAGTCAATTATTCTGGGGGAGTTACCAGACCACTGCCAAAAATAGCATATGAGAAGGGAAATCCACTACCCTGTATCTCCTAACACCTTTAAGCTCATCGCTTTTGCTGATTGTCTGTAAAATTGTCAATAAAATCTCACATTTGGGGAGGACTTCCAGTAAGATGGCACACAAGGCAGATGCACCGCAGGGACCCTCGACAACAAAGATTATAGACACCCAATGAAAATAGACACCAGATGAAAATCCGGGAACCCTGAACTTCCGAGGAAAGCTTCGAGAAATGGAGTGAGTACTTGCTGGGAGAAGCTGAGCAAGGACAGTGAGAGGGGCAGACTGACTGCTGAATGCAGGCTAGAGGCAGCGACCCTCCTGAACTGTTGTAAGCAGCTCTGGTGACAGAAAGTAACCTGGCAGAAGAGGTTCACACAGATGACAGGAAAGGCATATTTGCTTCTTTTCCCTCACACTCCCCTGGTGACCAGAGGTGTGACTAGCTCATACCCTCACCCACTCCCAGCATAGACCCTGCTCTCCTGGAGTTCAGAGCCACATGATTGGGAGGCAGGCCAGGGTGAGGCAGGGGCTAATTGGGCCGCTTTGGTACCTGGAGGCCGGCAGGCTGGACTCCAGAACTACAGAGCACACAGAACCAGCAGACCAGCGGTAATCTAGCAGAAACCCTTATAACCAGTCCTCCAGCCCCCAGCTGCCCTGTGGTCCTAACAGACACTGAAACCAGCTCTATCAAGGGCCTCCTCTAACTGCTTCCGCATGGAGTGCCTTGAACATAGATAACACTTAGAAACTCCATCTAGGGCTAGCAACCCCATGACCACATTCCTCTCACACCCGCTTCATGAGTTCCTCTTCCAGCAATCTCTCTCCAGAGCTTTCTTCTCTCTGGGTCCTACAACTGCACTGAGTTTTATGTGTTTTTTTCCTTTTGTTGTTTGTTTATTCTTTCTTCACCATCTTCTCTTTCATTGCCTTGGTTTTTATCCTTTCTATCTCTGCTTTGGAGTCCTGGTGTGATGCTGTAGGTTAATGCACTGGACTACAAAGTCAGTTTGAACTGCAAAGTTGGTGGTTCAAGCTCACCAATCACTCCTTGGAAACCCTATGCAGGGTCCCTATGGGTAGGGATGGACTCTGTAGCACTTAACAATAATCTCTACTTTTGCTTTTCCTTCTTTTCTGCTGTTTTTCATTCTCCCACTTTTTTACTTTTGGTCTTTCTTCACTGCTCTCTATTCTCTTTATCTTTTCCTTCTCCCTGGTTTTTCTAAGTTTTTTTATTTGTTTGTTTTTTAAATTTTCTCTCTTATTTTTTTTTCTTATAATTATTATTTTCTTTTCTGGTCACTGCCTTTTTTTCTTTCTTTCTTTCATTATTTTCTCTTTTATTTGTTAGTTGCTTGTTTGTTTATTCTACTTTGTTTTCTTTTGTATGTGGTTGGGGGATGGGGGGTGGGGAGAGAAGGGTTTCTCCTCTTTCTCACCTGACAGGAGACAGAAACTATACCCATACAGCTCAGCCACAGTTGTATCCTCTGCAGCTCTACCTACTGGGCAAAAGCCAATACCAGCTCCTATACCACCTGAGCAACAGCAGAGAGCAGCCAACACCAACCAAACCCACTCTAAACTGAGGTGCATGGACCATGAATGGAGAACGGTGCACATGCTTTCATTCTCTAACTACACCCACAGGAGGCAGTTGGTGAGAGCCTAAGAACACATCAACATACAATCATCAATTAAATACAAATACAACACCACCACAATGTCCCAGAGATAACAGACAATTTTAGCTCACGTAAAGATCCATGAGACAATGGTTCAAACAAATAACTAAGACACAGAGCCAGAAAACATTTTGAAGAAGAAAAGGTAATGGAACTAACTGAAAAAGAATTCAAAAGAATGATACTTCTGTACTTTCAAAGGATTGACAAAAAGATCAAGGAGAACACAGAAAACCGTTTAGAGTAACTCAGGAAAACACTACAAGATCAAACAGATGCAATTTTTGAAATAATACAAAACCTGCAAATTAGAAATCCAGAAGATTAATACTAAGATTTCAGAAATGAACAATACAGTGAAAGGGCAAATAAATAGATTAAAAGCAACGGAAGTGTGAATTAATGAGCTTAAAGATAAGTCTCTTAATACATGTATGCTAAAATAATAAGAAAAACGAATGAAAAAAAATCTGAAGAGAGCTTAAGAGTGATGTGGGACACCATGAAGAGGAATAACTTATGGCTGACTGGAATATTCCAGAACAGGAAGAGAAAATAAAAAGCACAGAGAAAACAGTCATAGAGTTGATGGAAGAAAACTTCCCTGACATCATGAAAGATGAGAAGATAGCCATGCAAGAAGCTGAATAAACCCCAATAGGATAGATCCCAAAAGAAAATCACCAAGACATATAATAATCAAACTTTCCAAAACCAAAGTCAAGGAAAGAACCTGAGAGCAACTCAAGGAAAATGAAAAGTTACCTAGAAAGAAAACCCAATAAAACTAAGCTCTGATTTTTCAGCAGAGACCATTCAGGCAAGAAGACAAATACACACATACACAAATGTCCACCAAGAGCTGTACCTTAAATATAACAGCAAAATTAAGACTTTTCCAGGTAAACAGAAGTTAAAGGAACGTGTAATAACCAGATCAACTTTACAAAAATGTCTCGGTTCTAAAAGGTGTTCTTTGGACTGAGAACCAACAACAGCAGACAACAACCTGAGACTAACACACATGACAACACCACCTAGAACTCAATCCAGATACAGAATTATTTAAAATAAAACAAGCCTACAAGACCGAAAATAGGGGAACCAGAGATGTCAATTTATAATGAAGTTAACTACAAAGCAAAAAGAGGGAATAGTGTAGATACAAAACTTCCAAATAGTGAGGAAGTCAAGTAGATTTCAAGATAAAACAGTGTTTCAAATGGCGGAGGGGGAGGGGAATGAATAAATCACAGGGTAACTTAAAAGAAAATTAATACACCATATCAAAATAAAAAAGAGGAAAATCAGAAACATGTAGTAAATATTAACATAATAAAAATGAAAAGAAGACCTATAAACAAAATTTACCCAGTGTAGAAAACTTTGTGGAACTAAGAAACCAGCCGCACCATAAAAATACACAGCAATTAATTCATGGCTATAGATAATGACACTGAATGCAGATGAATTGTCAAGAGACAGAAAGCAGTAGAATGGATAAGAAAACAGGATCCTTCAATATGCTGTTTACAAGAGATACATCAAAAAGATTGAGACAGTGCCAATGCCCTTCAACAGAAGAACGGTTAAATAAACTCTAGTACATACATACAGTGTTAAATATTAATGATGAATCTGCAAAACGCTTCACAACATGGATGAACCTGGAGGACATTATGCTGAGTGAAATTAGTCAATCACAAAAGGACAAATGTTGTGTGAGACCAATATTGTAAAAAGAAAAGATTTTCTTGATTAAAAGAAAAAAAAAGAAATCTTTGAGGGATGGTGATGTACTATCAGCACTGGACTGCAAATCACAAGGTCAACAGTTCAAACACACCAGCTACTCCTTGGAAACCCTATACAGGGTCTCTGTGAGTCAGAACCGACTCAACAGCACTTAACAATGATGGTTAACATGAAGGGGTGTTACTCATGGGCTAGAGGATAGAGACATGCTAACCTGGGTGGCAGGGCAGGTGATATAAAACGAGGGAGGTTGACAGAGGAAAGAGAAAGTGAACAGAGGTCAATGCTGTGAACTGCTAGGACACGGAGGGGATTGCAACCATGTAATGAAAGTGTGTGATTTGTTGAATGTGAATCTGATGATCTCGCTGTAAACCATCACTCAAACAATAAAAAGTTTTTTTAAAGTCTCAAATTCTGAATAATGCCTGTATTTCAGTGTCTTTCTCTCAGATGATATATGATAAATTCTGAACAGTTTCTCTAAACATATCATTGCCCCTGCTATCATGTCTGATGTATAATTGTTTATTTTCATCTTTCAGTTTAGTGAGGGCTGCTTCTTTGGTAGTAATTATACCCATTTTTTTGTATTACTCCCTTGAGATGGCTATTTCCCTTAGTTTTCTCACTGAAAACAACAAACACTTGTTCTCTTCTCATAGCGTATGCCTTCAACATCCTGAGTATAGGAAGCTGAACAAATTCTAGCATGAAAACCCTGGTTTTCCAGATCTTTTACCAGCTCCAGAATGGACTGATTATCTGCTGGATAATCTACCTTAGTTTACTAGCCTCATATTTGGACAGCTGATTTGTCTATTTCATTAAAGATACATTTTTTTTTTTCATTTAGAAGTTTAATTTCCCATTCTCTTGCATCTTTACATGTTAAAACCAAATGTTCATTTTCCATTTTGAGAGCAAAAGCAACTTCTATAAATTTTCATTAAATAGTTCTCTTTTGCTTTCCATTTGTAATCTCAGCTGCCTTTTCTTTCAGTAAATCATCCTTAAAATAACCGTTAGAGCCTGGATTGTGACACGGAATGAACGCATTCGTGAATCTAGAAAGGGCTTTCTCATTTTGCCTACTATATTCCTTCAGATCAAAGTTCTCCTTCTGAATGTTTTAGTAATTTTTTTTGGTGGTTTATTTATCTGTTTTATTAAATCTTTTACTTTATCTGTTGGGTTGAATGTAAATCAGTTCATTTTAAGTTTGCTTTCCTTTTTCCATTTGAAGCTCTTCTGTCAGGTTCATTTCATCAGTTGGATTCTGAATCACAATCAGGAAATAGTCTTTATCTGGTGCAACCATAATTTCATTTTTCTTTGAGCGAATTTGAAGAAAGGTGAGGTCATTCTGGGGGTCAATTTCTCGCACGGTGCTGCGTGCCTTCAAGATGAAGTTGTGCATGAGGTTGGCGTACTGTGTGGTAGTGGAGTTGTCCATGGTGCTCTTGATGGGAATGCCTTCCGTGTTCACCACAATGATCCCCTGCACGCCCTTCTGGCTCTGAAGCCGCTTCAGGGTTTCTTCCACCTCTGCCATCTCGACAGATCGGATATCTCCGCATCGCTGGCACTCAGTACAGTCCCAGTCGCCTTTTACTTTTAAAGTAAATGTATCCTACTAGGTAAGGAGCCCTAGTAGTGTCGTAGATTACCAGCTGGTTGCTAACTGAAAGTCATTAGTTTGAATTTACCAGTCAGTGTTCAGGAGAAGATGAGGTTTCTACTTCTGTAAATATTTACAGCCTCAGAAACCCTCTACAGGATCCCTATGAGTCAGAACCAACTTCGTGGCATCCAACCCCCACCAATAACCATCATATCATATGCATCGCTCTGTACCTTGCATTTGGTTTTCTCCACATCCTCCTGATAGCAGGGGATGTGGTCAGTTCCTACTCTCTCCAGGCCCACAACTAGTGGCAGCCGCTCTGCACAACCACTGTTCTGCCTGGAGCTCGGTGCCAGGCATACCACCTCCATGTCTGGGGCTCATGAACTATGCCACACAGAAAACTGCGTTCACATTTCCAGTCTCTATCACATTCACTAGGAGACAGGTGGTCTCCTGAGAATACACCATCACACAATCATCAACTAGATATAAATACAACAACACACAATGTCTCCGAGAAAACAGACAATTTCAGTGAAAGCGAAGAACTAGGACAAAGTGCCTCAAACAAGTGGTCAAAATACAGAGCCAGAAAATACAATATCAGGAATGTTATTGGAACTGCTTAAGTTACTTACAAAGGAGAACTCATAAGACTAAGCTCTGATTTTTCAGCAGAAACCATAAGAAAACAACATGATGATGTGTATACAACTCCAAAATAAAAAACTGTCAACCAAGAATTATATACCCACCAAAATTGTCTGTTAAATATAATGGAAAAATTAGGAAAATTTCAGATAAACCAAAATTAAAAGAATTTGTGAAAACCAGATAAACCTTATAAAAAATACTAAAAGGAAGCTCTTTGGACAGAGAACCAACAACAGTAGACAACAACCTGAGATTAATATACATGACAGCATCATCTAGAACCCAACATAGATATGAAAATGTCCAAGGTAAAACAAACCTACAAAACTGAAAATAGGGGGTAAAGCAGCAAGATGGTGGACTAGGCAGAAAGGCTGCACAACCCTTTACAACAGAGATCCAGAAAACCAGAAGAAAGACATGCAGATGATAGTCCTGGAACCCTAAACTTCAGATGAATTGGGAGAAAGAAGTGGATTGAATGCTTACGAGAAGAAAAAGCTGAGTAGACGCGGCAGAAGAAGGAGACAGTCTAGTGTACTAGAACCAGCTGAGCAGACATAGCACAGTCATCTGACATTTGTGTTTCATCTGCAGAGCCAGCCCTGATTAGCCCTGGACTCTGCTAGTGTAGTGGTTTTGAGTTGGGCTGCTAATCTCACTGTCAGTAGTTGGAGACTCCCAGTGGTTCTGGAGGAGAAAGATTAGGCTTTCTGCTCCCGTCAAAGATTTATAGCCTTGGAAACCCTGCGCAGGATCACTGTGAGTTGGAATTGACTCCATGGCACATAACTACCATCAGCCGTCACTAGAAGAAGCTGAACAGGTGGGTGAGACAGGGGGAGGAGGGTTTTGGTGGTGGTGGTGGTATGCCGTTGAGTTGGCTTTGACTCAAAGTGATCCTGTATAGGGTTTCTGAGGCTGTAAGTCTTTGTGGGAGTAGAAAGCTTCATCTTTCTCCCAAAGAGAGACTGGTAGAGTCTAACTGTTGACCTTGTGGTTAGCAGCCTAGTTTATAATCCACTATGTTACCAGGGCTCCGGCTAGTGGGTAGACACATGTTAACTCAGGTGATGGGTAGAACAACATACAGGAAGAGGGAGATAAGCAGAAGAATGATGAAGACAGGTGAAGACACAGGGAGGTATGCAAGGGCTAAGGGGATAGAGGTTAATAATAGTGTTATATACACAACCTTAGAACAACAGTGTTCTGTGGGTAGATACATGGACAGATACACAGACTGAGTGGTTATGGGAGGAAGGGTTTGACAGGGTAGTTGTACATGGGTATTTACCTTTGCTGCAAACACACCCATGAATGTGGTGGAGCAAACAGCGCACAAAATAATGAAAGCTTCTTAGATATCATCAAACATCTTAAAGCAATGAGTTGTGGGGATTGGGGGCTCAGGACCGTAGTCTCAGGGGACACCATGATCAACTAACATACATAATCCACAAAGACAATGTTCTACAGCCTACTTTGGTGAATGTCATCTGGGATTGTAAAAGCTCACGAGCAGCCATCTATTAGTCTCTCCATGTGTGGAAGAAAGACGAGTGATGAGAATCGAAGATGCTTGGAGTCAATGAGTCCAGTGGACTAATGGAACATGTGAACATCAGTCTACATGACTCTGAGATCAGAAACACTATATGGTGCCCGGCTGCCATTACCAATTGCTCTAAAAGGGATCATATTAGAAGGTAGTGGATAGAGTGGGGGGAAATGTGGCCTAAAACTCAAAAAAAAAAAAAAAAAAAAAAATTTTTTTAAAGACTGGTTTCAATGGTCAAAAAGAGACTGGAGGAACCAGAGATTATGACCCTTGACCACCCTTCAGGTCTGGTAAGGGTAACCCAATTTTTAGTCAAGTAGTAGCTAGGTGTGGCACCACAAGATACAAAAAGAGGGAGATAGCCTCAAAGCCCATCTGTAGGGTTGGGCTAGGGCTAGGAGTAAGGCCTGGCCTAGTTTTAGGATTACCTTTAGTTTATTTATTTATGTTACTTTTCTTGAACTCTAATTATTTCCTGGTCATTTGGAAGCTCTGTACCTACATTATTCCTTTTTACCCCATCTTTTTACCGTATGGGATTTTTCTTGTTGTTGCAAACTGGTATCTCCATTTCCCTATTTGCACTATTTTGTTTTGTATTTTTCACTTCTTATTGTGAATTGAGTGAAACTTTACAGACTAGGTCATGAGTTTTACAATCAGCAA